CATATTATGTTGGACCGGTATACTTTGCTGGATCCAGTATACTGGATCATTATACTTGCTGGAACTTCAGTATATTATGCTGGAGTTCTCGTGTATTTATGCTGGAACTCCATCATATTATGCTAGAGTTCCAACATACTATCCTGGAACTTCAGTATAATATGTTGGAGTTCAAGTATACTTATGTTGGAACTCCAGCATAATATACTGGAGTATTTTTCGGGTTTTGAACAGTGTTTTCGTTCAGATTTATTTTTACATATAAATTTCGATTACTTTTGAAATTGGACTATTTTTGAACGACCAGTTGTAAATCTGGCTATTTTTAAAAATATCCCCCTTTTCTGCCGTGTACAATTCATTGGGCCCGGTTATTGTGGGCATGATATAATATGAGATTTTTTCATTCCTATACACTATTGAAAACTTTATTATCTTAAATATTCATGTTTAGTAAATTACCTTACTTATACAAGTTTTGCTTACAAAATATGTACATTCCACCTTAAAAGGTTTCCAACCCATTATTAGTGCCTTCAATTAAGGGATTTAGTTCCACCTTGAAAAGTAGTTAATGACAAAAGAACACTAAAAGTGAATAAAGCTGCATAGAAACAAACAAATTCGACCACCCAAAAAAAAACCCTGATAAACTTGCACAGTAAGCAAAATCCTCTGACAACTTGCACATTTGTAGTTCTAATACCTAAAACAACAGAAGCAAACACCTATATTATATGTACTCGGTTTTGAGTTTTGCAAATTGGTTGTGGCTTACAAGGTTACATTCAACTATCCACTTAAATACAAATTTTATACAAATTTTATACAATATGCCTTTTGTATATCCCATATCTACTACTTAGTCAAGCCCTTAACTACTTCTATATCTTAGAACAACCCTGCTCTCTGATCGACGTTTTATAGTTTGCATATCCATGGAAAGAGGAAGCTAGGAGAGGATTCTAAACAATTCTATCGAGCCGAACAACAAAAAGAGAAAGATATACATAGTAAAAGTAATTTTCATACAACTAATTATATATTATACAATTTATCTACAACTTTCACACATTATTTATACCCAGTTAAATACAACTATAATAACATACAACTTAAATACAAATTTTATACAAAATTTATACAATATGTCTTTTGTATATTTTATATCTGATTTATACATAGTAAAAATAAATTTCATACAACTAATTATATATTATACAACTTATCTACAATTTTCACACATTATTTCTACTCAGTTATATACAACTACAATATCATACAACTTAAATATAATTTTTATACAATGTTGTTCAACTTTCAAATAAATAAAAGAAAAATACATAAACAACAAAATATAATTTTTCTACAATTTTACTACAATTTCGTAAATATAATGTATATCATGTCGTCTTCTTCTTCTTCGAGTTTCAATCTGAAATTCAGTCAAAACCAAGTCTAATCTTCACCAAAACCCCTCAAAATTGATATAAACTCCAAAACATATTCCCAATTGTTTGCAACAACACCCAATCCAAACAAATAATGATTTTTGAACAAAGGAAAAGAGAGCAGCAATTCCACCATTGACAGCCATTAAAAAGCTTTGAAGCTTTGAATTCGACTTTGGGTCTTTACATTACTGAAATTAGGGCTTGAGAGATAGAGAGAGACGTAGAGAGAATTCCCAATTCTTTGCAACAACATCCAATTCAGACAAATAATATTTTTGAAAACACAAATTCGAATTCAAAGCTTCAAAGCTTTTTAATGGCTGTCAATGGTGTAATCGTGGGTGGGTGCAAGATACGTTGGGGAGGGGGGTGGGATGTGGAGAGAGAAACGTGGGGGAGTAAAAGATATGTTAGAGTAATTTTAGGATACTAATTATTATCATAAATTCCCTTAAAATGTACATAAATGGTAATTGAGTATATAAATTATAATTATAGTAAAACGTGAATAGGGAGGTTAATACAGTTTCATATAGTGTATAGGAATTTAAAATGCCATTATATCTAGCTTATCACATGATTTTATTTTTTGAAAGATCAAACTTGTTTCATATATTGTTGAAAATTGAACAATTTTATGCTTTATTAAATTGTTGATTTAATGTTATCTCGCATTTTAAGGTTTTTTTCCCACTTGACATCGAATGAAGCTTTATGATCTTGAATGAAGTTTAAAATCATAATAAAAAATGAAGGGATAATTTTCTTTTGGAAGAATTTCGACATATTAAGTGAACCCATTTCAAGACTTGGTTAATAATACGGCCAGATAAAAGCGAGAATTTAGTAGGGAAAATACGGCCAGATAAAAGCGAGAATTTAGTAGGGAAATTATCAGTTATTTCCATTTATAAGTAGCTCATTATAAAAATTGATCAATTCATAAAATATTAATAATATTAGCCATTTAGCTATTTGTAGCAAAAAGATATTATATTTTTGCTTTTTTTTTTTTGAGTGGGTGTTATTAGAATGGATGAGCTTGAATTTCAGTTTTGGGATGATTTGGTGAAGTTTTGAGGTGGCTTGAATTGAAAATTTGAAGTAAAAACTGAACATGAAAAACAAAAGATATGTGTATCACACTATGTATCATTTGTGTATCACATATGTATCGTATTTGTATCAATTGTGTATCACATGTATATCAATGTATATTTGTGAGATACATGCGTGACACATGTGTCGCAGAAGAATTTTTTGAACTCGATTTAATTATGAATTTTGGATACAAAATCAGTCCAAATCACCTCCAATCTTCCTCAAATTTTGTATATTGACTTATCTATATGTTTTCAATGAATTTCAACNCTTATCTATATGTTTTCAATAAATTTCAACTATACCCATTGAAAAAAATCCTTTTTTGCTTAGAGTTTTGGAATATATATATATATATATATATATTTCATCACCTTATTTGCTACCTCATCCATGAAATTCCTTTTCGTCTTGCATCTAATGTTGCTAATCACGCTTAAAAATATGAAATGTGATGTTTGCATGTGATTCTTCGAGAGAAAGAACCTTATTTATTTGGTTTTTCAATTTTTATATGTACTTGGCTAGTTTTGTTAAGTCTATGACTAATAGCCAGAGGTTGGTAAGTTGAGACTTATTTGGGATATTTGTGTAAGTTTTCCAATTTATACGCGTTTGGATTGTCTTATTTAAAGTGCTTTTAAGCTAAAATAACTTTTAAGCCATTTTGTAGTGTTTGGATAAAGTAAAAAAGTATTTTTAAGCACTTGTGTTTAAGCTAAAATAACAAAAACAAGCCAAAAGCTAAAATTTCTAACTTATGGCTTAAAAACGTAAAAATTATACGGGGCGCCCTATTTGGTCCCCCCATTTAACCTATACGCACTTTTTAAATTTTTTGTAACTTGTACCCATTTTTTAAACAACTTTTTCTCCTCCTCTTCCTTCTCCTCCTTCGTTTTCTTCTTTTTTCCCTTCTTCTTCCTCTTCGGGCGACAATAATTTCATATGATAGTTATAAATATATTTTAATATAGTTTATGATATCTTACAACGGTGAGCTGTTATGACACTTTATTTTTACTATTGCTTACGGTTTCTTCTTCTACTTATTTTTCTTAATTACGAAATGGGTTCATTAGATTAATTGTTGTTTTGACAAATTGATGATTGGGGTTTATTCCTGATGATATTTGGAGGTTTTGTTTCAAATTTGAGCTCATTTGGAGTATATTTAGGTATTAAATCGTATATTGGATTGTTATAATTCGACGAACAAATTTCTGTTTTTGGGCAATTTTCACTTCAGACTTATTGGCCTTAAGTGAATGAAAATGTTTGTTGCACTTCAGGCTTTTTGGCCTTAAGTGCATCCGAAGTGCAATTTTTCACTTTAGACTTATTGGCCTTAAGTGTAGCAAAACGTTTGTTTCACTTCAGACCTTTTGGCCTTAAGTGCATTCAGACTTATTGGTGGCCTTAAGTGAATCTGAAGTGCAAATTTTCACTTCAGACTTATTGGCCTTAAGTAAATGAAAACGTTTGTTTCACTTCAAACTTTTTAGCCTTAAGTGCATCTGAAGTGCAATTTTTCACTTCAGACTTATTAGCCTTAAGTGCATGAAACCATTGTTTTATTTCAAACCTATTAGGTCTTAAGTGCATTTGAAGTGCAATTTTTTTACTTCAGGCATTTTTTTAAACTTCATATCCGATAAGTCTTAAGTTGATCGTAAAGTGAATAAGCTTGCATATATTTTTACAAAATGGATATAGGTTCAATTGTGACCCCAAAAACACTATAAATGCAAAACACCCCCCTAAACACTAATTTGGCCTAACAGGTTGTTTGGATGGTTGTTACCCATTGTATTGTATTGTATTGTTATCCTAAAACAATGTTTGTTTTGATTGTTTATTAAAAATTGGTTGTATCGTATTGTTAAATCCATTGTTCCGGAGCAACCAAAAGCCCCATTTTATGAAACAACCGATTTGGTGTGGTGGGATCGTTTCCTATTTACTTTTCCAATTATGCCCTTATTTATTACTCTATAATTCTATTTTATTATTTAATTTTTTTTATTTTAACTACAAATCTCCAACCTATTGACCTACTTTATCTTCTTCCATTCCCCGTTCAATTCTTTGTCTCTTTCCATCGTTTCAGTTTTTTTTTTTTTTTTTTGCTAATATTAGTTAACCTATTTTTTTTCTCAGATTTTTGCTCTTGTTTTCAAGCTACGTAATTAATCATAAATTAGAGGTTGTCTTAAATTATTTTTATGTGTAATTCTTGATAAATTTTATTTAAAACAATTGGGGATATTTTAGTGAACTTCTCAGTACAGTACGGTATAGTCAAACCAAATAACAAAATGTTATTTAACAACAGTAAACGATACAATGTATTCAAACGTTGTATCCATAAAACGATACAATACAGTACATTATGAAACGATGCGTAACAATGATCCAAACATAGTGCCAGCCTCTTAATCTCTTCATGTCCACAGCCTTTGGAGAGTTTAAGGTTTCGTAAGTCAACTTATCAGTGAAGCTCCGGCTTTACTCACTGCTACAGTTTTTTCCCCTTCAAATTTTCTATAATTAATACTAATAGCGAGTGGTTAACTTATGTATTTAGATTCTTCAACACTGTCCTGCTAGTGAATTTAGACTGAAAAAGAAAAAAATGAAGTTGGTACCAAGAGAAATAGAGAAATTGATGCTCCATAACGCTGGATTTCTTGCTCAAAAGCGTCTTGCCCGTGCCCTACCTCTTAATTATACTGAAGCCGTTGCTCTTATTGCAACTCAGGTATCTTAATATATATTCCAACACCCATTTATTTTCCGGCCAAAAGAGTTGAATAAACACCACCTTGTAATATTGCTAGTGTTAATTCTACCTGTTGAGTCAACAGTTTTACTTTTGGTGAAAAACTGTCTTTTGCTATTTCAAATGGAAACTTGGGTTGTTTTGTATTGCACTAAAAGGACCTGAATAGAACAGAATGATTGAGAATTCGTATGGCCAACCCCAACCTCATATAAAGTATGCGATTTTATGTATTTGAATAAAAAATGAACCACTTTGGGATTGACCTATAGTTGATTATCGAAAAAGGTTTAGTTTTGCTATTTCACTTGGGCTGTTTTGTTGTTCTAATGAAACAGAGCTGAATAGAGCAAACTACTTTGGGATACTTTGGGATTCAGCTATAGTTGCTGGTGAAATAAAAAGGTTACTTTTGCTCTTTCAAATTGATGTTTGGGTTGTTTTATATTTAATGAAATGGACCCAAATAGAGCAGAATGATACAAGAATTCATCTAGTGTGGGGACTATATGATTCGTTTAAATATTATTTTTAGGGGTAGGGGTTAGGGTGTGTGTTTGTTTTTTCTACTTATAGAAGCTTATCTGCAATCATGTCTTATGCAGCCAGATTCGTTTTGATGTATTTCATTTTTCACGATGACAAGGTATTAGAATTTGTCCGTGATGGAGATAAGAGTGTGGCCGAGCTGATGGACGTAGGGAGACAATTACTGGGAAGGTACACTGTACATGAATGGCAGATGCCATATGGTCTACTGACTTATATTAATGAGATCAATGCTACCCTTGATATGTAAAAAGGTCTGATGATAAATTGGATTACTGTTTGCGAACAGGGTATTTGCATTGCTTTCTCTATTTTCTAGAGATGTCACCAGGCTAGATAAACACTAAAAATTCCACACGTCCTCATAAGAAAGCAAACAGTGTCAATTGACCCAGGAATGCTGTTGGCAGGAAATAGAATAATTTGGGCATAGCAATATCTTATGCATCGCCATTCAGATTGTTAAGTGAGACAACTTGCATCAAAGGCTTGTTTGGGGTGTATATTTTTGGTTACAGCATATGATTGCCCCGGCACCAGGAAGTAATAAATTCATGCACCTAGAAAGTGGAGGGATTGAATCAACAAATAAAGAGATTATCATGAGAAACAGTGCATATGAATCGAGCGCAGGTGAAATCGATATGAGTGGAGCGAAGTGCCTCAAATAATGTAATTGTTTAAATGATTGCTTGATGTTGATGGAGATCAATGAGCTTACAATAAACTTTTTTGTTGTCAGGAGACAAGTTCTTCCAACTGTTCCTCATCTCTTGGATACTGTTCAGGTACTACGCTTTCCCCATTTTCTCTGTTTTTGCTGATTGACCTTGCCATCGTTCGTCTGCAATTCAAGGCAGCTGGTGACTATTCAGTGGTAATTTAATTTAGGTAGAGGGGACCTTTCCGGATGGAACAAAACTAATCACCATCCATGATCCTATAGCATGTGAAAATGGAAATCTGGATCTTGCTCTGCACGGTTCTTTCCTTCCTGGTAATCATGTGACGTACTGTTTTTAGCATCTTTAACTGTAATTTTTCTTTCATTGGCAAGAAACAAGATTTCACTCTTTGCTATAGAAATAAATATCTTGGAAGAGGCACATTTTCTCCATATATTGGTACAACGAAGGTTATTTGACTAAGACTTGAATTTGGTGGAAGCGTTATTTTACTTGTATGAATAAGGTCCTCTTCATTGAGGTTGATGCTTGCTGGCTCCAACCAAAACTCACACCAAGTGATCCCGATTTGGAATTACACCATCCCAATATCCGTAAGCCACTTTATTTCCCTTCAGAACCCAAAACTACCTCAAACGGAAATGTTGTCTAAAGAGCCCTTCAATGAATCTGAAACTTTTCATCCCTCTAATGCTGCATTGCAGAGTCAAATAATGATATAGAAGTACTCGTGACCGATCATTGAACTGAATTTCCAAGTGTCAAAGTTAAGCTGTGGATCAAGTTGCCCCAGAGTCTGTTCCTAATTCAATTTGGTGGATAGCTCTGTTGTATTCTTGGAGTTTCTATTTGCTGATTCTTCCCTCTGAATCCTTCCACCCACCATTGCTGTCTCTGCACCATAGTTTGGGAGGGGCTGGCTGACATCTGGAACAATTTTTACTATGTAAGAATTTCCCTCTTACTGTGTCCAGGAATTTTTTGGCAGCTCTTGTGAATGGGTATCTTTCCCCTTTTAGACCCATATGATATTTTATCTAAGCATACTGGTTGTTGCTTCATTTGATGGTACCCTTTGAAATTTCTGTGTAAGTTCTGCAATCTAGTGATTTCTCCGGTTAAATCCTGAAATTTCAGGCATATATTAGCATTAAGCTGTTCTGGAAGTGAAGCATATTCAATTAGGCTTACTTTTTTTGAAAGATTTTTCCGATGGACGATAGGTACTATTGTTTGAAAGATATCATTTTGCAGTTCCTCCTCTGGACAAGTTTCCGGTGATAGAAGATAGTAAAATTCCTGGTCAGTTGTGCTTTGGAGGTGGGTCGATTGTCCTTAATCCACACAGGAAGGCGGTAATTCTCAAAGTCACTAACACGGGTGACAGACCAATTCAGGTGCTTCTTTCTGCCCTCCTTCATGCATTACTGCATTGCTCTACTCAGCCCTGTTCGCCCACTGCCAATCCCTCAATATGAATAATGAAAAGAAAAATATTATGGAAAAGAGATCAAAGAGACTAATGGGAGAGAAAAAATTGAGCTATCCTGAGTTTCTGAGTTGAACTGAAGGTATCCTACATGACTTACTTAAATATGGAAGGGAAGATAGTTAGTGTAGTTATGCTACATATGTTGCTGAAACAAGTTTCATATTGTTTGCCTTATTCAGTTTAGTTTTCTGTTTATTAGGTGACTGTAAGCTGGTAACTCCTGGATCCTTTGCCTTTCTTGTTACAAGTCTATAATGATGCTCCTTAGATCTGTAGTACGTTCAGTATCCAGATATAAATGGGATTGACTCTTGTGGATCTAATTGCTAACATTTCCAGGTTGGCAGCCACTATCACTTCATCGAGGTCAATCCATCCTTGATTTTTGATCGAAGGAGAGCGCATTGCATGCGGTTAAATATACCTGCCGGCACAGCTACGAGGTTTGAAGTGAGACTTCTGACACTTTTAGCTTTGAAGCAACACTTTACTTCAAATCTATGTCTTGGTTTTTGCGAGGATAGGAAAAGCAACTAGCATGTTTCTTTCTTCCCGGATATCTCTTTTGGCTGTAATATTCACTTTTTGTAATATGGTTGTTAGAAGTTTATCTGAAAATTGTGGAGTTAAGTAAACCATTTTACTTGAGCTTGGTTGTGAATTGGGGTTTTCCGGAACTGGCTAGTTCATTGATTTTTGAGAAATTAATAGCCTGTTTGGCCAAGCTTTTTTTTTGGCCCAAAAGCACTTTAGGCAAAAAATTGAGGTGTTTGGCCAAACTTTTGGAAGAAAAAAAGTACTTTTGAGGAGAAGCAGAAGCAGAAAAAAGTAGCTTCTCTCCAAAAACACTTTTCTGAGAAGCACTTTTGAGAAAAATACACTTAGAAGCAGTTTTCAAAAGCTTGGCCAAACACTAAATACTGCTCAAAAGTGCTTTTCAAATTAATTAGCCAAACACAAACTGCTTCTCACCAAAAGCACTTTTTTAAAAAGTACTTTTGAAAAAAGCACTTCTCAAAATAAGCTGATTTTAGAAGCTTGGCCAAACGGGCTATAAGACATTGTGGACATATTGCTTTTGCTCAGGAACACATACAGGAGTTGGCGCAATTGTCATGTTTGTGATTATGCATCTAATTAATGAATAAATGAGCTAATCTTGGCTCCACTTGTAGCAAATTTGCAGAGAAAAAGATGCTTGTAAGAATAGGATACCTACCTTTCTTAGAGCACATACCGGAGATATGCCTATAAAGCTAGTACTCCTCTGTTCCAATTTATGTGGAGGTGTTTGACTCGGCATGGAGTTTAAGAAAGAAAGAAAGATTTTTGAAACTTGTGGTCTTAAACCTGCCATGACATTTATGTAGTTATAAAAGTATAGTAGTATACCATTAAGGGTAAAATGGGAAATTTTTAAGTTAAATTCTTTCCAAAAATAGGATGGTGGCATTCTTTTTTGAACGGATTATTAAGGAAATAGTGCCACATGAAATGGAATAGAGGGAATATATGTTATGGCTTCATTAAATATGTCATTTGGACCTAAATCTCCTTGATAAAGAACATGATGAATTAACCTGATATGCCAGGATAAAGTAGATAAAAAAGGCCTCAATATTCAACTGAAAACTAGTCAAATATTTAATAGACAGACAATTAATAGTATCATCTGAAGAGTAATTGGAGAAGATTCTTGCCGTTCCGGACATGCTTCCATTTCCAGTATAGGTTAGAGCTGAAATAGTCTGCAAGGATTAACAGTAACTTTCTTCATCAAAAAGAATTAACAGTAACTTTTTCCATGCTTAGATGTTTATATATTTGTTCATCTCTGGTCATGTCCTTATTTTTTGAAGTAGTGGTGCTCAAACATGTTAATCAAATTTGGCATTTATCTTCTCTTCAATTTCCGCTGTCTCGTGCTTGGAGTTGACAAATGTCGATTACTTGTCTAGCCAGGAGAAACAAAAAGCGTTGTTCTTGTTAGGATTAGCGGCAAACAAGTGATCAGAGGAGGTAATGCTATTGCTGATGGTCCAGTTGATGATGCAAAGGTTATGACAGTAATAGGAGCTCTGACTGAAGGAGGATTTGGCCATTTGGAAGAACCAAATGCAAGGTCTGGTAGTATTGTTACGTTACCATTTTTCTCTCATAACTTTCCTGAAGAATTTGAGTTATTTATTGAGTTGCTTAACTATTTAGCTGCGAGAAAAGGAATGTCTTAGCTTGAAAAGTATTGTGCAGGGAAGGTGTTGTCGGAGAAGAATCTTGCTTTTCTTTTTCAATGTCTCATGAGGCATATGCCAACATGTATGGCCCCACCACCGGAGACAGAATACGTCTGGGTGATACTGACCTTTTTGCTGCGATTGAGAAAGACTTTAGTGTCTATGGTGATGAGTGCGTGTTTGGGGGTGGAAAGGTTCTAAGAGATGGAATGGGTCAAGCGTCTGGATATCCTTCAGCAGAATGTTTGGATACTGTTATAACAAATGCTGTAGTGGTTGACTATACAGGGATTTTCAAGTGCGATATTGGAATTAAAGATGGTCGTATCTTTTCCCTTTGTAAGGCAGGTAACCCAGATGTCATGGATGGCGATACGATAATTGGGGTAAGTCTGGGAACATTTTGATGTTAAGTAGGCAGAAGTCACTAGAATGTGAAGCTAATACTTCCTGATCTTTCAGGTTAACACTGAGGTAATTGCAGGCGAAGGAATGATTGTAACAGCAGGAGCTATAGATTGTCATGTGCACTTTATATGCCCTCAGCTGGCATATGAGGCAATATCAAGTGGTAAAATCTGTAACTTTTAGGAAGTATATTTCTAGAATTCCCTTTGAAAAATTGCTAATACATGCCTTTTGTTTCTACGTTTTTGTACCATGTTTATGTAATAGCTGTGTGTAGCTAAATATGTAAACAATATGATCCCCCGTGCTCTTGTAGTGTTCCAGATTTATGTTGTAACCTCCTGTCTTTCGTATGTACGATCACTATCAAAGTGAGCAGATTTTATCTGGTTTTTGGTGTTCTTTTGGAGATGATCGTCCAATTTGATTGAATGTTGGAGAGAACTGTTGTTTCTTTTCTTCCTTTTTTTGGTGTGATATGGTCTTAACTCACCTTTAGAAGAGACTTCAAAGATTTTGGCAGCTGAAAGTTACTATTCATCTGCTGATAGTCATACTAAGTATCTGTTAATTGTCTGATGCTCTTTGGGTTTAAGCAAATTATGAGAAGGGTTACTTATCCGTGGTTTTGGTAGTCCATCCATAAACTGATTTTCTTAACTGACTAAATATCTAAGTTGCTCGGACTCGGGTGCGTGTATCCGATACGCTCGGATCCGGCAAAATCTAAATTTTAAGATTCGGGAGTGCGGATCCGGATATGGATACGGGTGCAGGGATTCGGCTAATAAAAAATAGAGCTATAAAAATATTGTAAATTTTGAGAGATATTTTGTGAAAAACTTACATGAATATTGTAGAATTCAATCTTTCATTCTCCAAGATGGGCATTTTTCTTTTACTCTCCTAAATCTGTTTTATTTTTGATTTTGAGAAATCAAAATCCCAATTTTTCTCCCAAATTTGTCGATGGACTCCGGTCAAAGTATCCGAAGTCAGTTGACCGTATCCGGGACGTATCCCGCTCCCGCTCCCGTCCTCGTCTCGTATCGGGACGGGGACGGCACCAAAATCGAAGAGTCCGCGCAGCTTAGCTAAATATTGCCGGAACCACATGCATTTGGATGCAATAAGGATCAAAGCTGAAGCAGAGGAGCTCCTATCTAAGCTGTTTATCCAATAGCTCAGACTTAAGCTTGCCTTGTATTGTTCTATAAGTGGCTTAATTTTCTATAAAGCAAACTTAATCTGTTGTGTTCTAGGAAAGAGGAGTGAAGTGATAAATTGCTAGCGATGTTTAATTTATTGTTTTGTTTCCTTCTTTATGTTTTGTAGGAATCACTACAATGGTGGGAGGTGGTACAGGACCTGCTCATGGGACACGTGCAACCACTTGTACACCGGGGCCTGTGCATATGGAATTGATGTTGCAGTCAACAGACGAACTTCCCCTAAATTTTGGCTTCACTGGAAAAGTATGCTTATTTGCTTGCTTGTTTTTCCCATAAGAAGATGTTCCAACAATGTGGTATGCATGTTTCCAGTGCATTTATTTCTTTGTCCAATTGTTTTGCAGGGTAACAGTTCCAAGGCCGAGGGCTTACATGAAATAATCAAAGCTGGAGCAATGGGCCTGAAGCTTCATGAGGACTGGGGAACTACTCCTGCTGCTATAGATATGTGCCTTGCTGTTGCAGATCAATATGACATTCAGGTGCTCATTCCTTTCTGTGTTTGCTGATTTAACTAAGTTTTACAAGTTAAAAAGTGATTATGATTTCTGAAATGCAGGTCAACATCCATACTGACACCTTGAACGAATCTGGATTTGTTGAGCATACAATTGCTGCTTTTAAAGGTCGCACCATACATACATACCACAGGTAAACACTTTTTGTAACTGCTCCCTCCAACTCTGAAGGAAAATGGCAAAAAGAAGAAAAAGAGCCAAGAATGATGAATAGAGAAAAAAAGGATAAAATACACTGCTGCTTTCCTATTAGATTAACGAACTCGACTCTTCTATCCCATGTTGTAACATGTACTCTGCAGTGAAGGTGCTGGTGGTGGACATGCTCCGGATATCATCAAAGTTTGTGGTGTAAAGAATGTCATTCCCTCATCAACCAATCCCACACGTCCATTCACTTTGAATACTGTGGACGAGCACCTTGACATGCTGGTAACAGTAGCTTATACTAAGGTGAAGTTTCTATGCTCCTGAACAATATATTGACCTGATAGCTCTACATGCAGATGGTATGCCATCATCTTAACAAGGACATCCGAGAGGATGTAGCTTTTGCTGAATCGAGGATTCGAGCTGAAACAATTGCTGCAGAAGACATTTTGCATGATATGGGAGCAATTAGCATTATATCTTCTGATTCACAAGCCATGGGTCGAATTGGAGAGGTTTTCAGTAGTCTAATTTCCAATTAATTTTTGGATTGAGAAACATCACATTGCAGGCAAACTCAACCAATTATTAGTTTTCTCACAATATTTTCTGTTAAGAGCTGGTAAACAGAATGTCTGGTGTTTGTACATCAACGTTCTTAACCTACCTACCACAACCCAACGTTTTATATATGAACCCCACTCCAGATTTCTTGTGATCTGTATGAAGCTACCAACTGGAGACCCAGGTATGTAGTGGGGAAGGATCCCACACTGCAGCACATTATATCAGATAGCTCTTCCATGAATTGTGCTTCTTGACATGTTCACGTGTGAACCTGATATGGCTTCAATTATCATAAGTGTGACGTTCAGGCACATTACTCGTGATCTCTCAGCCGCACAGAATATATGGAGAACCTCTTGTACATTGTGAATCAAGTCAATAAGCTTCTTTTTATTTTACATTATCTCAGAGCTAGAACCAATTTTACCCAATGTTGACCCCCATATTATATTGTCCACGCTCCAGATGTCTGGTCTGGTCCTGAGTGTGAGAGGGGTGAAGTGTACCATATTGGTGGAGGAAATAGGTTGTTATCTGCTATATGATTTTGAAAAATCCTCAGCTCTTGAGCTAATTTTTGGGATTGAGTTAGGCCTAAGATCTCATTTTTTATTATGGTATCAGAGCAGGTAGAGGTCCTAGGTTAGAGTCTCCCTGACACCACTATCAAAAAGAATTTTTATGTGCTTTGATCATTCAAAAGAATCAAAACGCAAGGGGGCATGTTATAGACATATCTAAGTAAATAAAAATGTGTTTTCTCTAACATCTTAAGCTTTTAGATGAGATGATCACACACTTCTGTTGAGTTTATGTTATAATATGTCTCCTGCTATTACGGTTAGGATTTTCCAGAAAAGCAAATCTATTCTTTCTTTGTTGTTAGTTAATAATAGGCTCATGTCACGATTAAGGCGAAAGTGCATATTAAGAAAACTTTTTACCAATCTCCCTTACAATCACTTGTATTGGAACCTAATTAAGCTGAATAAAAATAATAGAGAACCAGAGGGATCCATCCAATTATATAGTGTAATTTATTTCTTTTCTGGCATTTTGTTATTTCTTGAAGGTGGAATATTGAAAAAGAAGGTAACCGAGTAGGTTATATCCTAAACTGAACGCCCTGTAGCTGCCAGAATTTGCCAGGAAACTGCAATTAATTGTCCTTGTGCTAGGAACATACTAGCAGCAAAGTTAGTTTGGTCTGAAGGAGAGGAAGCACCATATTGATGTCTCCTTCCAGCTCTCCTAAACTATTTTCTTTAGTTTGCCACCTCATAACACTTGCAGAGACTCAAACTGCTTTCTCCTTTGTAACTTGTGTGTCATTCTCTAATAATAGCTTGAGTGTCACCCTCTTAAAAGTTCAAGGGAGATTCAGAAGTATATGATAAAGTTTAACTCTGTTGTTATCAAGGGATATGTGTTTCTGCTATGGGGTGTAAAAATTGTACAGGGGATTGAATTTGGCAGTAGGGAAATTTCTGTTGTTTAGCCAATACGAAAATTGCAATTAACCGAGTAGGCTCAGTTCCTTCTGTTAAGCCTGTAATCAGCTACCTGCTGTGAGTTAGCACTGAATGTGATTAAGATTAATATATATTTTACACTTTCTACAAAACTTGGCTGTATGATATATATATTGGTCAGATACTTCTCTTACCAGGTGATTAGTAGAACATGGCAGACTGCCCACAAGATGAAGTCATTTAGAGGACCATTGGACATTGATGGGCCAGACAATGACAACTTCCGGATCAAACGATACGTCTCAAAATACACTATAAATCCTGCAATTGCTAATGGAATCTCTCAATATGTCGGATCAGTTGAGGTCTGTCTTTATCATCACTGTTAATCTCATGAGTTTGTTAAACTGATTACTGACCATTTACCTTCGTGACCTTCAATACTAAATTCTATAGTTCTCTAGAGAGATGCTTTTGTGATGTTATGAATTGGAAATATTTCTTTTGTTACAGTTTTTCATTACTTCCTTTTTAGGGGGTGAGGTGCTTATGATATATGGACTCTTCGTTTACCTAGATGTATTGGACGTGTATGACAAGGGTATGGATACTGTGCAAGTCCTTCAAAATACACTAGAACACCTGTAAAACTTTGGACATGACCATGTCGGATCCATATCCAGACCTAATATCCGAGGTTACGTAACATTTGGGTTCTTTTGGTTTTTTTTTTTGAGGTGGGGGGCGGGGGGTGGGGGTGGGGGTGGGGGGCGAGGGGGATGGAGAGGACCATGTTAGAAAACTTGAAGCACGTCTAGTTCAACTAATTTTGTAGAAACTTGCATTGTTATAAAGCTATTAGAATCTTGAAAGGTAGTTATTCTCTCCTTTGTCATCATAGTGCTGACGGCATTGTCCTCCGAAAAGTCGAGCACTTCAACTCTCATTGTCATAGATTCCAGTTTTATTTTATTGGATATCTTGCAGGTAGGGAAATTAGCTGATCTTGTGGTGTGGAAACCATCGTTTTTTGGGGCGAAACCAGAAATGGTGATCAAAGGAGGGGTAATAGCTTGGTCAAACATGGGAGACCCGAATGCAAGCATCCCAACTCCTGAACCGGTAACTGTTTTACATTGGAGGACTCTTTTATTCGCAATTTTTGCTATTAACCAACTTTTGAATCTATGTTCTTGCATGCAAGAGATCCAACATTGGACTAATGTTTCTTAAATAACTTCATAGTGTAATTCTCTTTTTTGGCTTTCATAAGCGAATCTTGAATTATTGCTTACATTTTACTACTAGCCTCTGCTCTTTAGACCCATATTCGGTTTTGTTATCCCGTTGAAAGTAGAGCTGTTATCTGCATTTTCATTACTGAAGTACAAGTTGTTACAGGTGGTAATGAGGCCTATGTTTGGAGCATTTTCCAAGGCTGCAAGTACTAATTCAATTGCTTTTGTCAGCAAGGCATGTCTCTCTCTCTCTCTCTATATCTCAGCCCAAAAGAGTATGGCCATTTTCTCATATATTTAGGAGTTGAGATTTACTTTATATACACTGGCAATGTGAAGATTGTATACACAAAGTGTATTTTAACCTGTTACAAGAAGTTTATTACTCTATTTTCTGAGTTACCATATTAGATTTGCCAAGGATGGACAGCTATTGTTGTAGGTAATGTAACCTAATGGTGCAAAATAACTATATACTGCCAGTGGGTAGAAGTTAAATGTAGGAGTTGACGTTGGGACCATCAAAACTTGAAGGATGTTCTTTTGATGGCTTTGCTAGAAGCTCTACCGCTACACGAATATTCACTGAAGAATAGGGGAATCTCTATAACATGTGTACTAACACAACTCTATGTCTACTGCATTGGATAAACAGGCAGCTCTGGATGCTGGAATAAAACACTCATATGGACTAAATAAGAAGGTGGAAGCTGTAAGTAATGTGAGAAACATAAGTAAACTAGACATGAAGCTCAACGATGCACTTCCTGACATCAAAGTCGATCCGGAGACATACACGGTGACCGCTGATGGAACAGTCCTGACATGCACGCCAGCTACTACTGTTCCGCTCTCAAGGAACTATTTTCTTTTCTAGTGGTAACTGTTTATACTCCAGTAGCTTTTGGTTGGGTACTTTTGATATGAGATATAACTGAACAGATTTTCGTTTTCTCGACTTGCATATAATGTTTACTAGGTTTCAACTGCTTCATTGTTTACTTCTCCCCGTATGTTAGACCAAAATTTTTGTAGGTAGTCAACAGAAAATAGTAATTGGGGACGAGGGAACAATGTGGGACAAGAATAGTAGAATTAGAGGTAATGGAAGGAACTTCCTATTTTTAAGTACTCGGCTTAATGGTAGCCAAGTTGTGGTGGAGTCCCCGTGTTGAGGAACGAGTGCTATATGGCGGTCTTAGTAGTCTTAATAATGATCCCAGTTGAAAATATGGTGTTCTGATGAGTAGATGGATGTGGTGGAAAAGAGGTGTGCCTAGAAGATTGCTGCTGGCCATCAGCAGCGGAGGGATGCTAGTGTAGAGTGGAAGGAAGCGAGGGTGTAGTGCCATCCTCATGATCAATAGGCCTCATCTTTCCTAGACCTATCTCGATCCCTACGGGTCATCTGCATAAATTAAAGAAAATGTTAGAATTGAGAATATAAATCTATATAAGTGGAGAGCGCTTGAAAAAACTAACATGCTAGTTGTTTTTGAAGTATCCTTCCTCGTCCGAAAATTCTTCCTCTTCACTTATTTCATTTTCATCAGCTGATTCTTCGTCCTCATTTTCTATAATTGTTATTTCCTCCATATTAGAAGATTGAGAATGCTCAAGTCATTTTCTAACTGATCATCCACCATTTGGTTAACACTTGAGGTATCCTTTTGGTAAACATCTAGCACATTCTCAACTTCCACCCTACCAACAGGACTTAGTTTTGATTACAACCAACCAATCAGCCTTATCCCTCCACAATGGATATGGAGCATAATACACTTGCTTAACTTTTTCTGCAATTATAAAAAGATCATGGCGATCCTACCCCCTCTTTTTATTAACCTCAACTATGGTGTACTGCGAGTGTACATTTGTACATCTTCTAGTGTTGGGTCAAACCACTTGCATCGGAAAAGTATGATCTTCTTATTTGGCCAACTTGAATATAATAATTCTAGAATCTCTTTGATCACAGCATAATAATCATTTTTCCAATCCTGGTTGCCTTCACCACCTTTGCCACACGCCCCACTGTTATTGCTTTTTTTTTTTTTACACTTGGAGCATTCCTCGGTGTGAAAATTTGTAACCATTCACAAAATACTTAGACATAGTTGTAACCGTAGGTGCAGGTCCCCAAGATATATCTTTCAAAAGCTGATTAACATCGTTGTTTGGATTATTGACCTACATGTAGTGTTTAAATAAATCACAAGTGAGCAAGTATATTCACAAGTGACCAATCATGTATATTCACATGTGAGAAAGTATGTAAGATGCACTTACACACTCTTTAAACCATGCCTCAAATGTAGAATATATAGCATCATGGCCAAATTGACTTACGAAGTCACTGAGCGACACATTGAAATTTTTGTTAGTTGCATCAACCAAATTAAATAGTAGTCCGCGTAAACTAATCTTACGTCAACTCTTACTTAAGAAATGGTTGAACTTCCGGACAATTTAGCAACACATGACTTGAAGCTGATTTTTACTCCATACTACTTGGGCCCCTTTTTGATCGATATTTAGAACCTCAGCCTGGTTGATTGAATATGGACATTGGTGGATATAATGAATCATTCTCAATCACGACATTGTGCCGATTGGGCCTATTTCTAGCACATGTCACATGACCGTCGAAGTAGCAAGTACAAAAATAGGCAATTTCCTTTGTAAGATAGGCTTCACATATGGATCCTTCAATGTTATTCCTCTGTTTAACAAATCGTTTACACTTGCCGATAGTCCTGCACATTATCATATTAGACGATAATGGTAGAGAAAAATTACAAGAATGAATCAAGGTTTGATCATTACCTCTCGAATGGATACATCCACCTGCATTGAACCGACCCTCTAAGTCGTGCCTCGTGTACAAGGTGAATTGGAAGGTGTTCCATCACATCGAAGAAACCACATGGAAAAATCCTTTCCAGCTTATTACTAATTATAGGAATGTTCCGATTATTTGAAATAGGTTTTCTTCCCTTAATGTGGTAGAACATAAGTCTTTGAAGAACAAACTTATCTCAGTGATGAGTTTTCAGATATTTTCAGGCAAACCACAAAATGCAATTCGGATTAAAGTTTCCATGAAGATATGACAGTCATGACTTTTCAGGAGTCAATTTCCTTCAACCATATCAGCACGTTTTCCCAGGCTCGAAGCATAGCCCTCAGGCATCTTTAGGTTTGTAACCCACTTACAAATCTGTCGTCTTTGTTCCAAAGTGAATGTGTAGCTGACCTTGGGCTTGAACACCTTATCATTGTTCGCAGACTGCAAATGTTATTCAGGTCGCCTGCAATATTCTTGTAAGTCTAGTCTAGCCTTCGGGTTATCTTTTGTCTTATTTTTATCATCCAGCACTGTGCTGAACAAATTGTCAAAATAGTTCTTCTCAATATGTATGACGTCAAGATTGTGTCTGAGAAGATTATCCTTCCAATATGGCAACTCCTAAAATATGCTTTTTTTTCTCCAGTTATAAGTAACACGATATCCAAGAAATCTAGAAGGTGGGGCCTCGGTAACTTTAATGAAATGGGTTCCTATCGTTTTCGATATTTTATTATATACCTCGCTATGTCAGGATAGATTGTTGGATGATTATGTATAAATTGATATGCTGGATCGGGTTGTCGCCGCAATAATGTTATGACACAGATTGGGTTGCTCACCGCAACAATAGTATGACCATGGGATTGTGTATTGGATTGGATTGTGTGACATAACATATATAATACATGTTTTGGTGTTGTTTGTGATTTGGTCCTCATTGTGAGTTGTAATTATGTTGTTCACAAATATGTTTCTTCCCTACTGTTTTGAGCTGCTGAATAGGGGTTTCGTTGTGTCATTTGATGAACGTAGAGTAATATTTTTGGTTTTGGGTCATTTATTATTTTTCTGCTTTTATTTATGTTATTATTAAGGCGAAATATATAAACGACCCCTTTAGGTTGTTCTCAACGATCAAACAGACACCTCAACTGACAGCTTTACTATTGAGACACTTCAACTGGCTATTAAGTATATCTAGAAGACACCTCACATTGACATGGCAAGTTACGTGTATTTTAATTGCATTTGGGCGCGTGAGGTTTTATCAGACTTTTTCTTTCTTATTTTAGAACTACATTAAATTAAATTAAATTTTGGAAGTGGGTCCCATATTAAATTATTTTCTCACAAAGTAATCTCTCAGCAATAATATTATACCTTTTTCACCCAAAATTTCAGCAGCTCCACCTCTTTAAGCTACCACCGGAACAATGGCCGGAAGTTTAACCGGAGCCTTCATTGGTCAATTATTTTTTTTGAAGCACATAAAAGAAAAATTCATTTCCAAACGGTTCAATTCTTTAGTCCCACAAGCTGATTCGCTCCGCCCCGAGTCATCTTCACCAGTGACTTCGACGACGAGCCCTTCTTCATTTGCCTTTCTCAGATCCATCATCAAGTTCCTTCACCACTTTGTTTCCTGGAGCAAGTCTCTCCTGAACCCAACCCGATATCAGAACACGCCCGCCTAGATCCTGCGTTTGTTCAAGAAGATTCGAAATCTCGAAATCGAGGTTCAGTCCGGTGATCTTCAGTTAGAGAAAGGTACGACGATTAGGTGGAAGACATAAGTGAAATGAGGGATGATGGTTCTGTTATTTGGGAAGATCGAAGGAAGAAGATGGATTAAGGGTTCTGGTTTTGGGAAGACATAAGTGAAAGGAAGAAAGAAGAGTAAGTTGGTGGGGGTGGGGCAGGGCACTGGTTTAGTTGAAACTATGGAAGAAGTCTTTCCTTTCAATGTCTTTTTGTTGTTAATTACACGTGTAAATTTTTTCTATTATAAATTATACGTGTCATTTTTTGATTGATTCGTTTGACACGTCATTAGCAAGTGTAACTCACGCATATGGTCTGATGCACTCGGGTGTCTATTTGATACACTTAATAGCCACTTGAAGTGTCTAAATGGTAAAACGGTCAAGTTAAATCTACAAATATCAATCAAAATACCATATCCGTAAAAATCCTAGGGAAAACTACTCCATAGATATGGAGATAGTCATCACAAATAAGTTTAAAAACATAGAAAACATCAAAGACAACTTTACAATACAAACTCCAGTATTGCACCGATTGTTGGCAAGACAATTGATGAATTTTTGTGTCTTTAAGCGGTGGTAGCTCTCCAAAACTCTCCTAGATTGAATCTCCTTCAAAAATTATATTTACAATGTAGTTATACCGAGTATGGATGGATCTAGACTAAAATCCTTCTCTGAGCCGAACTGGAATTAACTGGGCAAAAATTAAACAAGCGCGCCGCACTGGGCGACGCGCTGTGCGTCACACTTGTGGGAATTTCCAGAGGACTTGTTTCCTCTATGTCTAACGCCTGAACATTGCTTTTGGCTGCCACCACGTGGGACGTCACTAAGCCAACAATTCTTACCAAGTTGAAAATGCAATTCAATTGCATTTTTTCTAAGGCAGGCATCATCAACCACACCATGATAGGCCAATTTTATGGCCTTAAGCGATTTTTTTTTTAATTTTCATATGTCTACTTGGTTCTCGATCCCGAACTCGATCTTGGATTTAATTCTCAAACTTCTACTCAGACTTCAAAGTTCTATTTTACTCATTTTAGTTCCAAAAATACGTCTTAGATCGGAATCACCACCTACACAACAAAAAAATACATAATGAGTATAAATTATTCACATTTTAGCTCATACATAATTAAAGTGCAGTCAAGTAATAGGTGCAAAGTATCCAAAAACTCGTATTTTTAGACTATCATCAACAACCTGCACTTAAACCATTGCTCGTCCTTGAGCAATACAAACTACACTTCAAATAGAGACAAATTTTTCGAGCAACTCTCCTAACTCATCCTGCCAAGAATACTTAAAGCAGACAAAGCACCAAACCGTAACATGCTAGCCTCAAGACTCAACTCACAAGCACCACGTATTTTTCAAAAA